CTGCGTTGTTGAATCGGCTTCACTTCACTATTGCACCATCTTCAGCGGGATGCCAGTTCGGGTTTGACATTGGGCATGGACTACCATTTTGGGAGCTGCATTTGTGGACTCTGTATCAGGTACGATCAGAAATTAACTTGGGTTTCAAATCTGGTCTGGTTCAGTACGAGATTGATCTCGACATTTCAGATTTCAAAATCACCGGAAAACTGGTTATTGGGATGTGTTAGAAAATTTTTAAAATTTGGCCAGCCACTAGATCTGGTTCGCCCATGTCTAATATGACTTCTAACCCTTCTAACAAGTAGCCCAAGGGTGAATTGTGAAGGCATGAAATTCCACTGGAAGTTGAAGGAAGTAAAAGCAAGATTAAAGAGTGGAATATCCAACATTTTGGAAGACTAGAAGAAAATAATTAAGAATTAATCAATAAAATTGAGGACTTGGATGCAAAAGAAGGTATAGACTCTTTTGAGGAAGGAGATAAGGCTGAGAGGTGGGCTTTGAGGAAGCAACTAGAGGATATATTCCTCAAGGAAGAGATTAGCTGGAGAGAGAAATCTAGGAGCAAATGGTTAGAAGAGGCGGATAGGAACACTAAATTCTTTCATGCACTGAAAAATGGGAGAAGGAAAAACTTTATATCAAAATTGGCGGTGAATGGTAACATAATCACTCAACATTCTAATATTGCTAGAGCTTTTGTGAACCATTTCAAATCAATCTTTAGAAATCCATTAGAAGGGAGAATCTGGCTTGATGGTTTAGAATGGCTTACCCTTTTTGAAGAACATAAAAACTGGTTGGGAAGAAGCTTTGATTTGGAGGAGATAAAGGATGCAATATTCTCTATGGATAAATCTAAAGTTCTTGGTCTTGATGGTTTTGCAATGGCTTTTTTACCAAGATTGTTGGGAGATTTTGAAAGCTGATATTCAAAATGCGTTCTTTGAATTTTTTGATAGGGGAGTGATCAATTTGAGGCTTAATTCTACATTCATTGTGTTGGCACCAAAAAAGAATGATGTGCACCCGAAAGAGTTTAGACCAATCAACTTGATTAATAGTCTATACAAGATCATTGTTAAGGTGCTTTCTTTGAGCGTGAGGGAGGTCCTTCCAACTATAATTTCTCATGAACAAGGGGCCTTTGTTCAAAACAGGCAAATCATTAATCAAATTTTAATTGCAAATGAGAGTGTCTAGGAGCTGAAGAGGGTCGGAAGGAAAGGGTTTGTTTATAAATTGGAACTGGAAAAGAACTATGCTTTGGTGGATTGGGGATTCCATAGTTTTCAAGGTGCCAAGGTGAGGCTAGGCGACCATGGGGCGCCCAGGCAGCTAGGCACCTAGGCATCTAGGCGGGCGCTTAGCCCTTGCCTAGGCAATGGAATTTAAAAATAAGAAGCCGATGAATTTCTACCTCTTATGAACTAGTTTTTTTGGTTTTATGTATTATGCACTTACTTTTGTGCTTAAATTTATTGCAGTGTTGCTTGATGAGAACAAGTGCTAAAATAAAAGAAGGAAATGAAGAAGAAAAGTAAGGGGCAGAGCCCCTGTTCTAGACCTAGAAAAGCTGGTAAAAAGATATTAAAACAAAAGAAGAAATATGAAGAAGAAAAGAAGGGGTGGAGCCCCTATTCTAGACCTAGAAAAGATGGTGAAAAAAATACTAAAATAAAAGAAGAATATGAAGAATAAAAGAGGGCGGAGCTCATGTTTCAGACACCGATAATGAAAACTTGAAACATGCAAAAAATTTAAGAACAAAAGAAGGGGGTGGAGCCCCTGTTTTAGTCCAATAAAATGATTAAAAAAACTTGGGGAAAAGATACAAAAAGGAAGAGAAAAATGGGGTGTAACCATTATTTTAATCCGGGAAACAGAGAGCAGAATGAAGAGGGGCTGAGTTAATCAGGAAACTGATTAACTCACCTTGACTTAGAGGACTGTCTGGGAATGATGGTGTGATGTTGTTCTCTCCTCTTCCTCGGTTCGATTCTTTTGTCAAAGTTAAACCCTCGAAGATTATTTTGCTTTTACTTTCCTCACAACAAAAACATGATAACATGCAACGAATTCTATTATAAAAACTAAAACGAACCAATAAAATTTTATATATTTTATATCTATTTTCATTTAATAAATATTATATATTATGTATGTGTTTCAGTCCCCTAAGCATGTGCCTAACATATATTTTCTTGGTGTTTGGGTGAGGTGCTCTTTGAAAAGCACCTAGTCACCTAGGCATCGCCCCCTATTGGAGGTTATGAAGAACTGTGGATTCGAGGTTAGATGGTGTAAATGGATCGTAGGGTTTGTTAGGACTTTCCATTATTCAATTTTGGTGAATGGAGCATTTATGGACCACTTTCCTGCATTAAGAGGGCTTAGATAAGTAGACCCACTATCTCCCTTTCTCTTCACTATTATAGTAGATGTTCTGGGTAGATTGATTGCTAGAGCAGATGGCAGATCTTTGACTAGGGGTTCGAGGATAGGAAGAAATGAGATACCACTTACTCACCTATAATTTGTTGATGATACAATCCTTTTTGCGAAGGGGGTGACATTAGATGGGTGAGAAATATAAAATGGATTGTGAAATTTTTGGGTTTAAATATGGAGGAGAGGGTGATTTTAGAGAGAGATCAGAAATTCTGGGTTGTTCAGTCACACGATTGCCAATGAACTACTTGGGTTTACCCTTGGGGGGGGGGGGAGCCCGAGAGGGAGTAATTTTTGGAGGCCTGTGATTGAAAGACTTGTGAAAATATTGGCTTCCTTGGAAGAAGTGCTATTTGTCTTTGGTGGAGAATTACTTTAGTTAGATCCACATTAGCTAATTTGCCTGTGTACTTTCTATCTATGTTCTGGATTCCAGTGGTAGTAACTAAAAGGGTTGAGAAACTAGTGAGGGATTTCCTGTGGGAACCAGGGGAGGAAAGGGAGTATAGAGTTAAATGGGAAGTGTTGTGTAGAAGCAAGAAACATATTGGCTTAAATCTTGGGAGCATTCAAGAAAGAAACACTGCCTTGTTAGGGAAATGGCTTTGCAGTTTGCCTTTGGAAAGAGATAAATTGTGGGCAAAAGTAAGTTGTTAGTATCCATGGGCTTGCGGCAAGCGGGTGGGAATATGGAATCTTGGCTAGAGCTACAAGAGCCTCTTTGTGGAAATCCATTCATGCCATCCTTCTTGCCCTTTCTACTTGGTGGGGGGAGTCCATCTCATCTTATTTGATTCCTTCTAGCTCTACTGTTACATTTGGCTGGGATTTAGGTTTTAGAGGTTTTCGGGAGAATGAATTTTGCAGTGTCTCATACTTGTTTTTCAAAATCTTGAGAAAGTAGTGTCAGATCATTCAAAAAGTGACTGCAGAATTTGGACCCTTTCTCCCTATGGTTCCTTTACCTGTGCCTTCTTTTTCTTGAATTTGATACAATCTAGGGTTAGTTTGGGGAGCTCTTTCCTGTTAAAGCGGTATGGATCACACCTATTCCACCTAGGATTGGTGGTTTTTGCCGGAAGTGTATTTGGAAAGAATCAACACAATTGACTTGCTTCAAAGAAAAAGACTTGGCTGGTGTCTTTCACCCTCCTGGTGCCCCTCTTTGTAAGGCTAACAGTGAGTCCTGCTATTATTTATTAATCTCCTGCCCTTTTTATTCTTCAATTTGGGAATGGTTTCTCTTTGTTTGGGTGCAGATGGAATCCCCCACCTACTGTTCAAAGTCTATTCTCCTCTACCTTTGTTAGATGGCTGAAGAAGAGAGGTAGAATTCTATGGCAATGCACAAGGGTGGCAGTTTGTTGGACTTTTTGGGAAGAAAGGAATCAAAGAATAATGATGGAAAAAGAAAGGAGTAGGGAAGCGATGATAGAAGCCATATCCATCAGAGTGGTTCATTGGGTGAAAACCTTGAAGCTGTTTGAGGACATTCCAGCAGGTGAGTTGATAACGAAGTGGAAGGAAATTGCTGTTTCTTCTTCTCTTAAGGTGACTTATAGGATTCAATTGTCCCCACCTTTAAGAGGTCTCATTAAGTCGAACTTTGATGGTAGCAGTGAAGGCAACCCAGGACCATCTGGTATTGGAGGTGTGTTCAGAACTGAGGATGGAAAAATTATTGCTCTATTCTCCGGTCCAATATGGATAGGTGATTCTCTAAGAGCTGAAATACTTACTATCATGGAAGGAATACAGAAAGCAAAGGACTTGAATATCCACAAGCTTTCAATTGAGGGTGATTCAAAGTTGGTGATTAGATGGCTGCAAAAGGAAGAGGATGAGGGATGGTGGGAATATATTCACGAGAAGAGGAGGATTAGAAGGCTGCTCCAAGGGCTAGAGGTCACTTTGCATTGTGTGAAAAGAGATGCTAATTCTTTGGCAAAACAAGGGGTGGGAAGAAATCAATTACTTTAGGCTTGTTCATAACCTGTTCATCTTTTGGGAGAGATACAAGAGTTGACCATCCATCTTTCTTAATGCTTTCAATGAATACAATTTCTGTTATTGATCAAAGAAAAAGAAATCTGGAGATGCCATTATTTTTTCTAGACCCCTTTTCAAATCTATGTCCTGGGGTAGAAGCAATATGCTAATGATCTTCACAAAGTAATAAGAGTATATACACAACCTGAAAAATATCTTTATTCTATAATTTTCTATAATCACCAAAATCCCTTGGATGTTTTGTCTAGAAACTATCATGATAAAATATTCTTGCTCTGGCTGGATGCTTAACCACTTTCTTTTGGAACAGGTATCTTTGGCACTAGTTTTGAAATTTAGTATACTATTTTGCACTATTTGTACTATATGATGTTTCTTACAAGATGAAATTTGTCATATTGTTAGAAAGCCAATGTTGCAATAGTTTACCAGATCAAAGGTGGATCTATTGCTTGTTATCTTGTAAATAGATTTACTCCATAAACAAAAGGCTCTTTTTCTTGTTGTTTCACAAATGATTCTTTTATCATGTATAGGCGATCAATGGAGATATCCCTTGTCATTTGCCAAACCATGGAAGCATGCATATTGACACACCTAATGCCTCGTTCTCAGGTTTTTTTACATCTCTGTATGCCTAGCTGTCTGTTCTGCATGGGGACATTCTCCACATTTATTTGGGGTCTCAATTTTCTAAAGCTCCTTTCTGTATGCTTGTAAGATATATTTTCTCTTTCTTCTAATGCTTGTTTATATTTACATCTCAGATAGACATATTTGTCCAAGTTCTACAAGCTGATGGAGGTAAGCAGAAGCTCTCTTTTGCAAATTTGCAACAAAGGAAACTACGGAAGCAACAATAACAATGTAGCCCAATAGGAAAAAGTGGAAAGTAAAAGCTTGGGTGATACCTAAATTATCTTGGGTCTAGCTTATGACAAGACTCATTCTATCTTTATCAAACACATGCAAATAGGAAAAAGAAGGAAAAGTTCAAATGACAAAAAAAGGCTAAGTTCAGAGTGACCCAACTCTTTTCACTTTTGTCAGCCATGGGGAACCACCCTAATGGATGGCATGTCTAACCCTTTTGGATGCTGACATTAATATACAGTACACGGGCAGAGTAAACAGATCAAATATATTTCTTTAAGTTTAATAAGTATTAGATTTCAAACATTTTTTTTATTTTCAATTCTTCCTGAGAATTCTAAGAAAATACCGTAAGAGGTTGATGGCTTTTTACAATATTTTCTTTTATCATTTTGAACTTCTAATTAATTATAATCTTCAAAACAAAAACTTCTAATTAACTATGATTCAATTAATTCCTTTTTCTTGATTCCGATTTCTGTATTTGTTGATAAACTGTTGCAGTAGTCATCTTTGTATGTAGGAACAAGATCTGCATGCATCAATGCTGCAACTCTGGCTCTTGCAGATGCTGGGATTCCAATGTGTGACCTCATCACTTCCTGTAGTGCTGGATATCTCAACAGTACTCCTTTGCTGGGTATTTTTCCTTATATTTGTTATTCAGAAGTATTTCATAGTTCATATATTTGAGCTCTTAGACTTCTCATTTATTTGTTTATTTATTTTTTGTGATATGGGCAGATCTGAACTATGTAGAAGATAGTGCTGGGGGCCCTGATGTCACTGTAGGAATTCTATCAAAGTCAGATAAAGTGACACTCCTTCAGGTTCCAATCTGATATTTCATTTCTTTGATTGGTCTTCTGTCCTTAATTTTCAAACATGATATTTGACTACGGTATAATTCCTTTTGAAAATGACATAGTATGTGTACTGTCATTTTGGTTACTGGTAAGAGATGGTTATACTTTTTATTCTGAAATTTTCAGTTAAAAGGACCCCAGATTTGTATGCAGGTTTGCTTATTAGATTTAATTCACTGTGGTCTTATTTTGACTTAACCAACACATCAGATCTGGAATGTTTTTGGATGCGTCAACATTTTGAAGTTGCCAACTTTTATCATGCACTCTGTCCTTGATTAAATCAAGATTTTCTGTTTTGAATTTGACTATTGCTTTTTTGAATTTTGCATAGAATTTTAACTTCTAGAACAATCTATTACAGATGGATGCTAAACTACCCATGGACATCTTTGAAAATGTCATGCAACTTGCAATAGAAGGGTGCAAAGCAGTTGCAAACTACATTCGAGAGGTGAGGTTTTTGCTAGGTTGACCATGTGCAAGATTTACATACATGCTCTTTGCTATTTGAATGTATTTGCTTCCATAAGCTTTATATTTCATTGCAGTTAAATTACATTTTCTTTTAATATGTTTAATAAAACTGCGATTCTTGAGGAAATATAAATTGATACATTCCACAAGTCCAGTGGGTGCTATTGATATTTACCTTTGTTCTTGACAGATACTGCTGGAGAATACCAAGCAACTGGAATACCGCCGGGGCAGATAATCTTTCATCATCTAAGGAGCTTGAGTCCGTCCTGCAAATGTAATGATTTGATATTACTTTCATAATTAAAATTGATTTAATTATTGCAACAATGTACTTGTAATGCCAGATCGATGGATCTCTAGTCCAAATGTGGCACAAATTGCCAGTTAGGTTTTTCTTATTTGTATGCCATAGACCAGCATAGACTCAATCTATGAAATGGTGTTCTATTCCTTGTTCAGTAAAATATGGTGGATGGGACCCAGAAATTTATTTGGCTTGACATTTTTGAATTCTTTTTGAAACAACAATTTCTTGAGCCCAAGGTGATTTCTGACAAGGCAGCTGTAAACTTCATCATCATGCTACTCTAACTGGTTTTTAAATTCCCAGCGCATAGGATTCTCCATCAATTTACCTCAGTATTGACCTCGGGCTCAAGAACCATTAATGACTCTCTTAGCGGTTGCATGCTTTATTCTCTTTGCTTAGGCTCCTGAATTTCGTTTGAGGATAACTTGTTACTTACCTTGCGATGCTCTTTGATGTCAAATTGGGGTATAATAATTTATCAGTGGTGTAACATGTCCCTCTGCCAAAAATGTAATATGTATTGACAATATTTTATCAATATTTTAACCCTCTCAGGAATGAAAACAGTTCGGATCAAATTTTGTCAATGGCACAAGAGCAGCAAGTATTGCTTCGCTGATAATAATCCTATTTTCTTACATTACAGTGAGATATTTCAGAGAAATATTACCTCCAAAGACTAGTGGCTAGAGCTCAATTTTGTTAGTTAACTTGGTATTATTAGAATTGAGAAATGTTAACACGGCATTGTATATTTGTATATGATCAAGATTCAAGATGATGGTTAGGCAGCCTATTCTTATTCTTTGTTTTTTTTTTTCAAATGCTTTATCATGGTTGTAAGTAGAAAACCTTATGTGCTGATTTTGGCCAAGCTTCTTGTGAAAGGAAGAGTAGAAAGTTGGGGATTTCAGTAAGAGACAAAGGAAAGGGAAGAAAGGAGAAGAAGGTCGATTAGGATAGATTGACTTAACCCTAGTTGCTAGCCCCTCATTCTATTTATAATTAACTTAAGTATGAGATATTACAAAAATGCCCTAAGTAGGGCGGCAACTCAACCTAAGTAATTACAACTCTTTAAAAAATAAAGACTAATGGGCCCAAGGCCCAACAACATCTTAATTTAAAAGGAAATAAACTAAACACAAGTCGACCCACT